ATAATGTAATCGTAGACGTTGATTTGGTTTTTCCATCATCGTTGTTAGAAATTTAGCTTATTTCAAGTGTAGATGTATTTGAGAAGTATATGTTTGGTAAAGATTTTGGACACATTCTCCACAGAGAGGTGTCATTCAATTTTCAAATAAAGATTGTAACTGTTGACTCTAAGTCATGAGTAAGATGGTTCATTTCGTATGGTTCCAACCGTTGGGAAATATAACAGATACTCTGTCATGCTACATCTACACAACCAAGACATCCATAGAAAACGTCATCGTGGATTTTGAAATGATCAATGTCATCGAAAAGTGCAAAACAAATGTGAGGTGAGAGAACTGTTTGGTTGTCAGAAACTTTATTCATAATCAACATCACAGACTAGACTAACTTTCCTCAATCGACAAGTGAGGAAAAACTCTATAGCTGAGAAATCGCTAACAAACTGTCGATAAAATTGACAAGACCAAAGATATCTTGAATTTCATAACACTTTGTGAGAATTCCAACTTTCTTCCGCTACAACCTTTTGGGAAAAAGAAAAGAATATTGTCTACTGAGATCACGTCTCCAAAGAAGAGTCCCAATTTAAACAAAACTAACATTTGAGGTTGAACCATGGCTCGTTCTTGATGTTGCGAAAGATTTAATGGATCGAGATTGAGAACTTAGAGTAGTTCCTGGTTGTTAAGCCTTCCTTGGTCGTGGGTCGGTCCCTACGTTTGGCCTCCAACATACTTTTATTGGACTGCTTCCCATCCTCATTTTTAAGCCACTGCCAAATCTTTTCGAGGCTGCTCGGGTGCCTTGTCTGCTCATCGAGCCTATTCCCAAAGTACATGATTCTTTGCCAAAGCGAAAGAGTCTGCCAGAGTTAGATCTTCTTTCATGATCAACTCTCTGAACAGTGGGTGGTCTGCTATGAGTCCTTTTTGGAAGGTTGCATTTGTTATCAAGTCGTCGCATCCGACTATCTTCGCCTTCTCTGCTTTGAACCTTTTCACCTAGTCGCAGAGTAACTCTTTTGGGTTCTTCTTCATGTTGAACAAGTGGTCAGACTTTTTCATGATCGAGCGGTAGGATGAGTATTCTTTGGTGAAAACCAAGGAAATATCATCAAAACTTCAGATGGATCGTGATGGCAGGGTGTGAAACCAATCTTGTGCCTCGCCTTGTAAAGTGGTGGTGAATATCTTGCACATAAGGGCAGTGTTGTTCAGATAACGAACCATCATGCTTTGGTAGTGCTTCAAGTGCCTCTCTGTATCTCCATCTCCTTTAAAAGATGTGAAATGTAGCATGCTAAACTAACGTGGAGACTTTGCCTGCTCGATCTCATCCGTGAAGGGTGACATGCTCATGTTGGTGATGTCCGTCGTAGTGCTTCATCGGTAACTTTGTTACATTGGAAATCATGTAATCGGTCGTTTAAGAGCCTCTCTACCTCTTTCTGAATATGCCTTTGTTGGGGTAGCGGAGCTCTCAACTGCCCTTAGTCTTGACCTACTGGTCTAGTGCTTTTCTACGTGCTCGGCTCATTTATGCCGCAACGACGGTGCATGTGGTTTGTTCCTAGCAGGTGAGGGAATTCTTCATAGGCTGCCAATTGAACTTGAGCTAGATTGAGTGACTGCTTCTCTCTGTCTGACGTGATGCCTACCCTGATGTGATGTGGATAATGTTCATTGTAGGCCTAACCGCGAATGAACGCTTCGCTTGGAAGGCTGCTCACGTTGAATATCGGAGTATGGCCCCAACCATAAGTTTATGCTCCTCTGTGGGCTTAGTCGAGAGTGCACGCTCTTCTGCATGCTAAGACGAAAGTATATGTTATCTCGGGGCCTCAATCGGGAGTGTACTCTGTCTGAATGCTCGATTCATGGCTGGTTGAGTGACTGTTTACTGGGACTTTACTGGAGAGGTTCTTCGTCTGAGCCCTTGTCCTATTTCGGGACACCTCGTCGGGGCACGTTGCATCTCAGTGCGCCGCAAGAGCTGATTCACCAAGGTCGTCTGTTGTGCGAGGGCGCTTGTCAACTCTATGACTTGTCGAGACAAGTTTTGTTCGTCATTCGGATTGGAAATGCTTGGAAGAAATGCATCTCCTTGAGCAGTGGAAGTATAGTAGACTTCGAGCGCGAGATTCGAATTAGGGAATGTCAAATCCGCGAAGAAGTGTGGTGAAACTGCCCTTAGTTCAATCGTAGTCCCAAAAATTTAAAGTCGAGACGGTTAAACTAATCTTGAATCGATTTGGGCTACTTGGAAAGCCACGGGAGTAGGCTGGGCCATGGGAGTAGGCTGCTCGGCGTGTGGCGCACGTGGGTACGAGGCTAGGGCTCAGCTTGGCAACGCGTTGAGCTCGCTTAGGGTTTGGGCGGCTTGGCTAGGACTTAGGCCCTTAAAGGTTAAAGTGGCACGGCTTGGGTCGTGACCTTGGCGTCATGGGTTTTGCTGAGGGTGGCCACGGTGGTGCCCCGTGGGGGTGGTGCCGCTCCACTCATCATTGTGTTGAGCCTTGTAGATCGTCGTGGTCCTAATCCTTGAACGTTGGAATTTCTATTCATTCTAAATCTCTTGCCATTGTACTTTTCTTTTATGTTTTATTGAAGAATTTTTTAAAAATAAAAATTCCAAGAATAAGAACGTACGAAAAATCTACAAATGAACAAGAAAATGAAAAACCTTGAATGTGAGAGTCTTCTACAAGCGCTTGAGTTCAACCCTCAATGAAAGCACCAATTTGTAGATGCAAATTTCTTCCTTCTTGTTCTTGGACGAAAATGCACCTGCAAAAAGCCTCACGCGCCCACGATGAATTGGGGGTGGGGGGGCTTTGGCCGAAGAACCTCTGATGCCAAAGTTAGAACTTTGAGGGAAAAGTGTTTTGAGAATTTTGCAAGAGGATTCAACTTAGGTTTTTTGAGAAAATGAAGTGGTATTTATAGGGGTATGGCCGGCCTTATTAGGAGAATGGGGACCGGCAATATGTGGTATTTTTTGTTGTTAATTACAATCAATTAGCTAATTAATAAATTAATTGAGTAATAAATTAATTAATTAGCTAATTAATATAATTTGAAAGAAATAATTTGAGAGTTATCTTGTGGGGAGGATTTGATGAGGATGGATGAAATATAGGTTTTGAATAAATACCTATTTTGATCACTTTTGACCTCGATTGAGTGATGATTGTCCGCTACTCGCACATAGAAGCTTCTGTGTGCCTCGAGGGTAATTTTGCCTTTTTAACCCTAGAATCCACTTGTCGCTTCCATATTTTTCTCGATTATTTTTTGCTCCACAACTTGTAAGGGTGATTCTGTCAAGGGTGCGTGTTTGGGGCATTTATCTATATTTTGAATATCCGTAGTCTTGTGTATGTTGAAATATGATGTCATTCAAGACCCGCAGAGGGCTTAGAGAATGGGTATAGAAGTGACAGAGTCATTCTCTACAAATATTTGCTTGAACAATAAGAGTGAAGAGAGAATTATGTAGTACGTATGGATGACTACGTGACATTGTGCAGAATAAGTTGTTCAATTAAATATATTAATCTGGTTAGGTTGAAGATTTTCTTATGTTTTATGATTTTTCTTCTTATGGTTCATATTTTGAAATTTGAAATATTACAATTTTGAATGTGAAGTATGTCGAGTCATATTCTTTCTCAACATGCTTTCCTTTGTGTGGGGAATGTTTATGGTTTAAGGTTTAAGGTTTAAGGTGTGGGGGCGGGAAAGTTCTTGGAGGTGTTCAAGTTCATTTCGGATTTAAAATAAGGATGGTGAAATTTAAATGGAAGTATTATGACTGACGGCGGTACTACTGTACAAGATAATGTAAATAGAATAACATGAAATATTTATACCCAGACGTGAATATCATAAACTATAACTGCGTCCTTCTATTAGACATGCGGCCTGATTAGCAAAACATCTTACTATCACGAAGCATTAATGTGAAATATCGTGGACATATGCAATAAATCATATCCCAATACCACCCATGAAGCTTTCGAATTCTGGGAGTTTGAAACCCATGCAACACAATTGGCATTCTCATAATTGTACTTGCCAAACAAGAAGGAAATTTCATACTCATTCTTGAATCTCTAATTCGTGAACTCAATGGGCTTTTCAAATTGTCAAGAGCATCATCTTCAAATTGAAATGTAAAAATCATATTTTCAGGAAATGTAGATGTGAATCTACGCCAGTGAGAACGATGTAAATTTACAATCTCATTTATTTTTCTTTTCTTGATTGACAAGATTCATCTCCTAAAGATGTAAATTTGAGGAAAAATTTGTATTTGCATTTTACATTCCCTTAAAACTTGCCTAGTGAAGAACTTTCCGGTCAACAAAAAAAATGTAAAACGGTGATTTCAAAGCATGAAAATGCTACTAAGATATTTTCTAAGAACAACCTAATTGTTGAATCAAACCAAGAACCAACCAAACTAAATTCGAAGAATCACTTTAATCACATACCAATTTGTAAGGAAAAAATAATTTCATGCCAAATGCAGAACTTTCCTAAAAAAGTGGTGCATCCAATACCCACCAAGTCCACTCACTCATCTCCCAAACAAACATTTAAATTTTACCATATCAACAGCTGTAGATTACCTTCCAAATCACCGGGCCACTAGGGAAATATTGTAAAACTGTTTGCTTAAAAGAACCAAAAATAAAAAATCATTCTTCTATTGGCAAAAAATTTAAATAAAAAATATTCAGAGGCTATAAGTATAAGAGGGAGTGTTCATTTCGGTTTCAAACCCTTGCCAGTGTCATTGGCCTCCCCATCATATCTCCTCCTTAATCTCTCCTCCTTTCACTTTCCGCTTCCCAAGCTCAAAGGGTAACCTCTCTCTCTCTCTCTCTCTCTGACCTAATATTTTTTATGTGGTGTTTATGTTATTGACCTCGTACGTTGCTTAACTTTCGGAGTTCAAATATTTTGTTGTATTTTCATTTTTGTTATAAACCATCATCAAAAGGGTTTTTTCAAATCTCTGTTTTTTCTTTTGGGTCGCATAAATCTACCACTCTTCCCCTTTCTCTCTCTGCATCGCATACATCAACTGGTGTAAACGGTATATCTATTTGTTGAATGTACCTTCGGTTCTTGTTTAGGGTTAGGGTAGCCATTTTTGCACTCCATTTTGTCGACTCTTCGTGCTTGTTCGGTGGTCTAATGCATTCTCATTTTGTTAACTCAATTACCAAGCACAAAAATAAGTTGGATCAGGACTCAGAAGTGCCAATCTATCAAAATAGTAGTCTAAATATTTGGCACCCTTTGTGATCCACGTTTGATATATGCTTTGTCGATTGCTTTCATTGGTTTTGAACCTTTTTTTGCTTACTCCTATCATTTTATGTGAAGCGTGGATTTGTTTATTTTTTTCCTTTTTTCTTAACGATATAGTTTTCCCTTCACTCGCTTTCTACTCCTTCCTTTTACCATATAATTAAGCTTTTCATCATGTTTAGAAATCCATATTCAGTCAGTGACTCAGTGTTATTAATTGTTTTTATTTTTATTTTTTGGGAAATTGGCTGAAGTGATCATACAAATCCCAGTTGCTTGGTTATTCCGATTGCTGATATGATCAAAATTAAATACTGATGACATATCGATTGAACAATAGTCATTACAACAATTGAGATTTGTAAAATGATCATTTCAACCAATATCTTTGTTCATTCATTCATTTATTTATTTATTTTGGAGTTTAAATGGTCTATTAGGGAACTGTATTAAAACTTTAAGCAACGAGTTCCCATATGATCTTGCTAACTTCAAGCTGGAAATGTTGAGTTTACGTTGTTTTTATAACTTTTGAATGCAACAGATGGAATACCTTTAGAGTTATCGAGAAGCAATTTGTCAGCGGGTTCCTTTTATTCTTACGTGATTAACATTGTTCAACAGTTGAATACTGTTCCGGTCATATATTTTCAAAAAAAATTAACTTAGGGTTCATTGTTGTTGCTGATCCGTTAATCCGTTGGAGTCTCTGTTATAATTTGTTTGATCTGTCTGGAAACATCGAATTCTATATTTTGCATGATATTGTCAAACTGTTGGAATCGTAGTGGATATTTTCCCTTGGCCTTCTTTCTGATTACAAGATCGGATGAGTTTACAGGTGTTTGATTCTTTTCCAAGTAATGGCTGATAGGCGCCAGCACCCAACTATCACGGAAAAGTTTTCTGGTCATGAGCTACATCTGAGTTCCAGCCACTATGGGGTCATCCAGAGGCCTTCTATCAATCAAAGGCGTTTTTCATATGGAAGTTATTCAAATGCAGCATTGCAATATCCCATGAACCAAGCATGTCGAGCTAATGATCCGTTGGTGGCTTCACGTTCCTTGCCTGTCTGTGTCGAAGCCCCGAAGGAGAAAGGATTTTCAGGCTTTGCAATTGATTTTCTAATGGGTGGAGTTTCTGCTGCTGTATCCAAGACTGCTGCTGCTCCAATTGAGCGCGTAAAGCTCTTAATTCAAAATCAGGATGAGATGATCAAGGCTGGCAGGCTCTCTGAACCCTACAAGGGAATTGGAGATTGTTTTAGCCGAACAATGAAAGATGAGGGAATGGTAGCATTGTGGAGAGGAAACACGGCAAATGTCATCCGTTACTTCCCAACTCAGGTAACTATGTCATCTTTTTCTCGCACTCTATCTCTTGTATCTGTGAGTCTTACTGCAGTGTGCTTACGTTGTTTTCCCTTTGTTCAGGCCTTAAACTTCGCGTTTAAAGATTACTTCAAGAGCCTGTTCAATTTCAGAAAGGACAAGGATGGCTATTGGAAATGGTTTGCCGGTAACTTGGCATCTGGAGGTGCTGCGGGTGCCTCTTCTCTATTCTTTGTCTACTCTTTGGATTATGCTCGTACCCGTCTTGCAAATGATTCCAAGGCTGCAAAGAAGGGAGGAGAGAGGCAATTCAATGGCCTGGTTGATGTCTACAAAAAGACTCTCAAATCAGATGGCATTGCTGGCCTCTACCGCGGCTTCAACATTTCTTGTGTCGGAATCATTGTTTACCGTGGTCTTTACTTTGGAATGTATGATTCTTTGAAGCCTGTGATCCTCACTGGAAAGTTGCAGGTAAGTGGATTGCTTGTGCACTAAGTCATATTTCCACTGTCCATATACACAAACTAATGGGGATTATCTCACATTTTTTTGGAAATTTCAGGATAGTTTCTTTGCTAGCTTTGGCCTTGGTTGGGTTATCACCAACGGCGCTGGACTTGCATCTTACCCAATTGACACTGTCCGTAGAAGGATGATGATGACATCTGGTGAAGCCGTCAAGTACAAGAGCTCGCTCGACGCTTTCTCTCAAATCCTTAAGAATGAGGGTGCGAGGTCTCTCTTCAAGGGTGCTGGTGCTAACATTCTTCGTGCAGTTGCTGGCGCGGGTGTGCTTGCAGGTTACGACAAGCTTCAGGTGCTAGTGTTCGGAAAGAAGTATGGTTCTGGTGGAGCTTAAGTAAAACTGAACGGACAACGGCACCCCCAGATAGCTACAGATATTGATGAAAGAAAACATCATTTCATATCTTGAGTTATATTTCAAAATTTTGGAATTAATTAATGGGATTCTCACTGAATAACCTAGTTTAGAGGATTTCGTCTCCTAAACACCATATTCTGGGAGTTTTGTTCGCATTATCCTGGCTATAGGAGCTGTTGCAAGCTCCTACTGTTAAATATTTAAGCTTAATTATACGTATTAATGTTGGTACCGATCTGAAGCTGTGTTCCATATGCTGTCATAATCTTCTCTCTCGCTCTTTGTTTCTTGCATATTTTGATGGCATCAGTCCACGTTAAACATACACATTAAAAATGCTGAACTCTCTTGACCTCTACAGTGACGGAAAACAATCATGTCTATGTACCTTCGTGCGCGAGTTTGGTCCATATCAATTCCCTCCCCTAACAATTAACTACCTATAACCCACTATCTAAACCCTGTGGTAACTAGTAACGGGGGAGCAATTAGAACTATATATGACAAGGGTGGTCATATATAATCATAGGAAGCGTCTTTGCTTTCTACCATGGTGGTCAAGGCAAAGTACTAAGAAGTGTTATTTATTTATTTATTTTATTTTCAAGGCTTTTAACCAAAATGGTTCATGAATATGAGATTAGCTTAACTCCTCAATTTAGTCCCTAAGGTTTAACATAACCATGTATTTACACTAAGGAAGTGGGGCCGGTCAAAATAAACTGGTTCGAATTTTCCTTCGACGAGAATTGAACCTAAAACCTCTCACTTACAAATGAAGAGGAATATCACTAGACAATAGTATACTAAGTGACACTAAGAAGCGTAGTTAAGTGAAAGTGAAACTATGTATGTACTACCTGTAGAATGAGATTGCATACAGGGGTACCAAAAAATGCAATGTTATAGTGTTTGATACCAAGTAAAATGATCAAAAAGGGCATAATATTGGATGTGATGTTAATTTAAATGTTTGGCAAATAAAGGTCCATTTGTCTTGTTAACTCAATCAAACAATCATATATATGTTTAGACTGAGGGTGTGATTTATCTCTGACTATAAACTCATGAACAATGCCATTCACCTCTATTGAGCTACAACCAGGACTCTTCTCTACTCCTCGCTCCTTCATCAAATTCTGTATCTTCTCTGCTTTTTCCCACATATGTGATTCCCTATATATTTTACCAAGCAAAATATAAATTCCGCCATCACCAGGGTCCAACTCAAGAAGCTTGGTAGCTGCTCTTTCTCCCATCGAAACGTTTTTATGAACATAACAAGCAAAGAACAATGCACCCCAGACCCCAGCATCCGCCTTCATTGGCATGCTATTGATAAGCTGTTCTGCTTCTTGCAAAAGTCCAGCCCTACCTAGAAGGTCCACCATGCAAGAGTAATGCTTAACTTTGGGGCAAAGATTGAATTTCGATTTCATTAACGAAATGTACTTACGACCTTCTTCAACCAAACCTCCATGACAACAAGCTGATAACACCCCAAGAAAGGTGATCTCGTCCGGCTCCAATCCCGTTTTGATCATCTCTGCAAAGTAAGTTATGGCATCATGTGCATGTCCGTTATGGGCAAGACCACAAATAATAGCTGTCCAAGTCAGAGAGTTTCTTCCTGGCATGTCCCGGAAAACCTTGAGAGCCTCTGTGATGTTCCCACATTTAGCATACATGTCAACAAGGGCAGTCCCCAATGCAACATTTAACGAAAGACCCTGTTTCTCAATATAATGGTGAATCCATATTCCGACCTCAAGTGCTCCAATTTGTGAGCATGCGGATAAGCAGCCAACCATGGTTATTTCATTAGGAAGTATATTTCTCGCTTGCATTTCATGAAACAGAGCCAGAGCTTCTTTTCCATGCTTGGCTTGGACATAGCCGCTAATCATTGCATTCCATGGCACGACATTCTTCTCCGGAATCTCATACAAAAGCCTGCAAGCAATTTCCAGAAACCCGTATTTGGCATATCCAAATATCATTGTAGTCCATGAGACAATAGTTTTCTTTTTCATAGTGTCAAATAAAGCTCGAGCAACCTCAAGATTCCCACACTTCACATACATGTCCATAAGCACATTAGTAAGAGGAATAGTCAAACTTAGTCCATTTTCTTCAATCAACCAATGAAGTTGTCTCCCGAGACTCAAATCTTCAAGTTGAGCACAAGAAGAAACCACCCCAATCATTGTAACTTCATCCGGCACCACTCCTTCCACCTCCATTTGCCGATAAATCCTCAACGCCTCGCACGCCAACCCACATCGGACATACCCATTAATCAAAGAATTCCAAGAAACCAAATCTCTCACACAACTTTCATCAAACACCTTATGTGCAGCCTCCAACTCCCTGCACGAAACAAGCATATGAATCACAGCATTGTGAACAAACATATCCAAATACAAACCCAATTGCATCACATGCCCGAGAACCTCACCACCCACAAAACTCAACGATAAATTAGCACAAACTTTCATCAATAACGGGTAAGTATAATTATCCGGTCTCGACCCACCATTCCTCAACATTTTCTTATACAACACAATCGCTTCCCTCGGATTTTCGCTCTCAGAATACCCTCTAATGGCCGCATTCCAAGAGAACGCATTTGGGTTATGCACATTGCATAAAACCCTGATACAATAATCAAGATTTCGAGACTCTGAAAGCGCGCAAAAGGCGATAACGCGGCTCGAAGCGAACCCATCGGAGATTAAGCCGGTAAGGATCATCTGGGATTGGATTTGCTTCAGCTGGGACATGGATTTGCATGTCTCGAACAGGGAGAGTAGTGGGTTTGTTCGAACTGAAGTGTGGGTTGTGTTCCAACTGGTGGGTTTGCCTTTGTGGGGTGAGAGGGAGCGAGTGTGGAAGAGAGAGAAGAGAGGACACTGTAGGGGATTTGGAACTGAAGTTGAAACTTCACACCAAAAATTACCAACAAGCTTAAACATTACAAATTCAGCTCCAACTAAGCATAAATTATTCACAGCTAAAAAAATTAAAGAAAACTGAAATTGAGGGTTGGAAATTGTGGTGGGTGGTGGGTGGTGGGTGGTGGGAGGTGGGTGTCGTGATAAAATTGGGGGCTCTACTGGTTCGCCTTTCCTGGAGGTTTGGCGGGAGACGCATGCCCATTATGGTAACGACATCGCCAACGACATTTTTGTATGTATTACCTTTTGTGTTTTGATTGTCAATTTCATTACAATAAATAAGGTTTAAATTCTGATCCATAATCTTAATTGATTTCTTTTGTTGTTGTTTTTTTTTTTTTTTGGGTAAGCTTTTATGATGCAGAAGAAGAACGAATATGTCACCAACCTCTCCTAGCATCAACCGAGTGTGCCTATGAACGAGTATCCTAATCCTTGTCAACTTCTGGCATCAGGATTCCCTAGCCCCAGGCCAACCTTCAGGAGCCACTCCCCCAGCCACCCCAGCACCCATAGTTTACGTTTATCTAATTTTTTTTTTCATGTAATCGTACAAACAATTTTAATTCGAATGTAAATATCATTTTTTTAATATTTATTATAATTTAAAAATAGAATGAATAAATTATTTATTATAAATATTTTTTTTTAAATATTTTTTATATTAAAAAATGTTAGCCAAACTGATGATTTCGTCGCTCAAAATTTATATTATTTTTAAATCTTAGAGTTGGCCCGACTACTTTTTCGTCATCAAGTTCACAAAATTATTTAATTCTTTGCTGGTCAACGAGATATCCTTCTCGGGCAAGAAGATTTCATTGGGTCATTCGTCAAGTTAACTTAGTTTTGGGCGACGGAATTGTGTTGTCTTCGTTTAAGGTTTCATGCTACGGATTTTGCTCGACTAATCTTTCCCGAAGAACCTTCGTTGGCTAAAGGCTACGACAACAAAACGAGCTTTGAGCCGACAAAACTTTTTCATTTAGCGAGGTGTTTTTTTTGTAGTGGTACTTGAACGGTTTTTACTATATGGCCTCGTTTGGTAGCTCTGATGTAACATCCCACATCAACCAACAAAGGGGGGCGATGTGCCTTATATGTACATGCCCACCTCTATATAGCACAAGGCCTTTTGGGAACTCACTAGCTTCGGATTCCATCGAAACTCCGAAGTTAAGCGAGTTTGGGCAAGAGCAATCCCAAGATGGGTGACCCACTAGGAAGTTCTCGTGTGAGTTCCCAGAAACAAAACCATAAGGGCGTGGCCAGGGCCCAAAGCGGACAATATCGTGCTACGGTGAAGCCGGTCTAGGATGTGATAGAATGGTCAAAGCCACTCTGTCGTGTGGTGCGAGTGTGCCGATGAGGACGTCGGGCCCCTAAGGGGGGTGGATTGTAACATCCCACATCGACTAACGGAGAGAGGGTGATGTGCCTTATATGTACATGCCCACCTCAATATAGCACGAGGCCTTTTGGGAACTCACTGGCTTCGAATTCCATCGGAACTCTGAAGTTAAACGAGTTCGGGTAAAAGCAATCCCAGGATGGGTGACCCACTAGGAAGTTCTCGTGTCAGTTCCCAGAAACAAAACCGTGAAGGCGTGGTCGGGGCCCAAAGCAGACAATATCGTGATACGGCGGAGCCGGTCTGGGATGTGACATCGGACTTTACTGACTATTTTAGTCGGATAGAAAAAGTAGTCATAAGATAGTACTGACTAAATTAGTCGGGCGTTTGGTGCAATATCGAACTATACCTAGATTATTTCCTATAATTGAGCCTGTTGATCTAAGGTAGGAATATGTATGAAGAAGAAATTAAAGATGCTCTATTCTCTATTGCCCACTCAGGGCAACAACTGACTAATGGCTATATTATTTGTACTGTGTTTGGTACTGCACCTGGATAAGGAAAAAAAATCTTTTTGACAAGTCCTTATTTGTTTGTTGAATTTTTCTCATATTTATACCAATTGGAAACCACACAAATGTACAATAATAGAAAGAAAAAAATAGTAAATTCCATACATTAAATTCAAAATGTTTATGAAGCCTGACAGCAACCTCACAAGGCAAATTATGAAGTCTGGTTTGCAATCTCACAAGACAATAATAATATTATTAGTTTGATTCAATACATAAATCAAGCAACAACAAAAAAAAAAATTTGCAAGAAAATTTGAGAGAGGGAAGAACAAAAGAGGGGAATGGAGGAAGATAGATAGATAAATAGATAGATAGATAGATATATATATATATAGAGAGAGAGAGAGAGAGAGAGAGAGAG